TGGAAGTTCCCAAATAGCTTACATCCGGCATTCCCCACCAAAGACAGCTCTCATCATCCTGGGATCCCCCTTCCTATCTAAACAACTTCCAATCGTACAAGTCAGTGGCTGCCTTCCTAATTGGCTAAGGAGCCTCCACCTGCAGCACCTACATGCTCACAGGTGTTGTTTACATGGCTGACATGGGCTACTTAGGCCTTGATTCCCCCTAGCACCCTCTCCTTCATAAAAATAATTTCAAAGTCTGTTTTACTGATAAGATCAATTGGATGCCAAAAACATTTAAGAACTTAATCATTTGCATTTCTCTAAATCTATCTGATCTGTATAAATGGATTGTTTCAGGAGAAGCTGTAAAGCAAGAATTATTGCTATAGAGTACTGTGCCATCCTCTACTTTAGCACTAATTAGGGGGGAGGGAGGTGAACAGGTTACCTCATACTCATCTAACATCTGAAAATGATCCTCTATATCACACTTCATTAAAAAAATGAAAAATATCTAGCAAGCAAACAAACTAGATTTCCTAACACAATGTCCCCTATAGAAAAATACAGTGGCAACCTAGATTATTGCAATCTACCAAATAGCTGCAGAGATCATTAATATTAATCAGAGACTTCAACTCTTTTGGACAGTTTGACTTCAGTGGAGTTACATCAATCTACCTCAGCCAAGAATCTGGTCCAATAAAGTTCCCTATTTCTATCCTAGACATTTGCATGGTTTCTCTATTAAAAAGATAGGATTCAGCCCATGAAAGACAAGGAGATATAATGTATAACTTGAGTTAGATGGTATGTAGCAGAACCAATACATTTATATATTTTAAGGAAGTAAACGACTAATGTTTGAAAAATATAGGATAAGCTTATGTAAGGGACGTTTTCCCATTTAACATTGTATTTGTGACAAAAAATATACAGTAAAAAACATTTGTACAAGTCTAGGATTCTTTGCTTCATTACTAGTTAAAAAAAAAGATTCACGGATTCCACATGAGCATTGACATCAAAAGAAAAAAAAATCCTTAAATTAAGGTCAAATGGTTACCTTATTGGGTACAAAGTAATACAATTAAGCATCAATAAATGGTACGTTAATAGGGTTGTGTTTTCTGAGCCAGGCCACCACTTCCCGCAGCTCCCTTTGGCTGCAAAGGACGTAACGGAGTCAATGGGAGCCGCGAGGTCCGGGGTCTTGGCGCCCGTAAATAAACAAACCAGGATGGCCAGTTAATGTGTTTCTGAGAGTGATTCCGTGAAACACTTTCAGAAACACTGGGTTACAAAACTGTCCACATAAAAAGTCTTCCTTAACAGCAGACACGGCAACATTTTATTTTAACCTTCAGAAATCAAAAGAACAAGTTCATGATTTAAAATGGAAAAAAAATCTCTCTTTGTAAGTGTCTGTATGGAATTAATGGAATGTATATCATTCTAGATAAATTATTATAAAGTTTCTATATTTTTCCTGGTCGGGTCACACAATACATTTGACAAGTAACAGCTTTAATTTTACTTCAATTCCATTAAGCTTTAGTTCTAATGAAGCCTTGAGACTATCTAATGAGATTTTTTATTTTCATTTAAAGGGATTTTTTTAACATTAGAAAAGAAGCTGCAACTTAGATTGACATTGAAATTTTGTATCCCATTTGTCAATAATGTAGATAGCCACACAATGAGATTCTCTCTACCTAGGTATTTTTATCACATCCATCCACCTTCCAGATTATCTTCTTTCTTCTGTTTATAACCTTACAGTGTTTTGCTAGATATGAACCCTAACCTGAATCCAATTCTACCCAAAAATCTTTCAGATTGCACAGTTCTAGCACAATGCAATGAGGCCAAATAAACATACACGAAAGGCAAATAAATTCCTTTCTCCTGTATGAGCTTACAATGGAAATTGCTCCTAACACTAAGATATATGCTTTGGGGCTTTTTATATGATGATTGTACAAAATTGTGGTCCAGATGGGGCGTCTGATCTCTAGCAGCAGTGTGAGGGGCTTCTGATGTGATGACTATAAGTGCAGTGTGTGTAAGGAGTGTATTATTTAAGGAGTAATGTGACTATCATTTATTATTTGTTTTACTAACAGATACCAGCTTGATTTGTCTTCTCCCTGAATTACCAACATATTTGGAATTCGTACTTTGAAAAAGCATCTCCACGCAAAGAACAGCTACTCAGCTTAAGACGCTGCTATTCCAGTAAGGTGATATTGCAAACACTCCATCACTGATTAACTGAGCATCAAGTATTATGCAATTGTTCATCTGGGGCAAACCTAGGCCTCTTCTCCACTGTCACAGAAAGCCAGCCCCTTGCCCATCGTTTCCATGTGCAAGCAATGAAATTAGATTTGGAGTGGAAGGCAGAAGTGCACACTTTCTGCATAGCCTGCTGATCGGCTCCCTGGTAACTCCAGGGCCACATGGACCATATGGAGATGGGACCTAGGACAAAAGGTTTCAAACTTGTTAAGTCTCCATGGCTTCATCATACATCAGGTGTATTAGGGCAACAGGGTAACTGCAGTCTGCAAAGCTCTTCCGTTCCCTGGAAGGAAAGCTCCTTTTATCCCACCACATTCCCAGTGCCCAAACCAATTATTCTGGGCTGATGACTTGCATTTTAAATATTTCATCAAACAGTAGCATTGCTAATACAACCAAAATATTGTTTTGCAGAAGACTACCCACTGATAAAGGGAAATGGTTTTGTACTGAACTAAGGTGTTTCATCTTGGAATAATCTGCAGAATTACATATATAATGCTTATATTTGAAATGTTGACCAAAAAAACCCAACCAGCCATTGATACAGTTGCAGCATGCAGCTATTCAATGTAACTGAGCTAATTATTGGCCACATTAAATACAACAAAAAAAAGCTCATATGGAAACCAAAGATGAATTTGAACCAATTTGCAGGCCAGAGAAATCCTCTTTCTCTCCTCACAAATGACAACAAAAGCCTTATTGAAACAATAGTTTTAAACTGATGAAAGTGGATAGTGATTGCCAGCGGTACAGTTCTGTTCTGGACTCACAAGAATAGCTCCCATCGCCCTCAATGAGAACCATGCCTGAATAACCGAGGGTAGGATTTGATTTTTGGAGTTATATTCTTTTCCCTTAACAGATACCGTCTTGTACTTCCCCGTTGAGAAATCAACTCCCTTAGCTGATTAGTAAATAATTTATCAATTCCTCTTCAGAGCCCTGGATTCCACATTGAGATCAGACTTGTTTCTCACCATTACCTACTTTGCATAAATATTGTCTCTAAAGATCTCCCCTGAAACAATTAACATTGTCAACTTGCTTTATTCAATATTCTTTGTAAGGTCCCCATCTGACAGTGAAATCACAGGAAAGGCTGAGAAAAGTGTTTGGCTAGCTCTGTCAAAAGTTTTAGTTTCAAAAAGAAATAAATAGGTGGTTTGGCTTTACAAGTCCTATCGTAAGAACAATGTTCATGGAGTAGCTGCTATTTACAATATGGGCATATTGTGATTTACAGATTCGAACTCCATACATTGATTTACATACTCTCAAAGGAATTAATCCTATTTCCTATATATGGGGCATGGAGTGAAGATATTCTTTATTAATGAGTAGTTATAATAAAATGGACCCAATTTACTAACTGGAGATGGTTGAAAAAAAGTTTTAATCTAGGAGGCTGAATTGCAGAGAACGTTACAAATACTAAGCCAACTTAGAGTCTATGCCAATGGAAGTCTCTATAAAACTTGGAGGAGGTCTCCAATGATAGAAACTCCATCAGGTGAGGTTACAGCATGAAACATGGCTGATACACCTCTGCCACTGGTGCATTCGCTGGAGTTCACAGGGCCCAGCCTTTTCACAAAAGTATGCATAGTTAGACAAAGTGGTCAAAGAATTCAGTGCATGTACCCAAGTGTCTTTGCCAATTGGTTTCCTAAAGCACCCTGACCACAACTTCAAGCTGTCTCCCACTGAAGGAACACAAGCAGGTGGTAAAAAAAAAAAAAAAAATGCCTCCCCCCACTCAGAATGAATCCCCATAGCAGGCACAGGAAAACCAGGCTGTCATAGGAAACCTGTTAATTTATACCTTCCTGTTCCGACTCTAGTGCAACTAAGCCTCTAAATGCTGTAATGTTCCATAGGTTTTAAATTAAAATCAATAATGTTCTTTCTGCTATTTACACACTAGATAGCATCTGTTGCATAGCCTTTCAGATTTCTCAGTCCAAAGGCTAATGCTGGCCCCTTGCTCCCAAAGCACTGGAGAGAGAAACTGTTATTTAAGTAACATATATATCTGAGTGTAACGTTAGCTTTACAGAAATAGTCATTCTAAATGCACTATTGAAGTTTTGTGGCTTTAGGAACACACTGGCTAATGCATTTATTCTCCAGCATTTAAATTGCCTGTGTCTTATAGATGTTACGTTAGTGACTGTATGAGCCGGTGAGTGTTTAAAAAGGAAAGCTATGCAAGACAGGGAGCATACAGCATCCCTATGAATACCAAAGACCCTCTCAACACAAGCTGCTCCACCTGTACAACCAAGCAGTGCAAATTACAGCTAGCTGTCTAAGGTACTGAAATTATACACTTACCTAAATGGACCACCATTTCCAGGGGAACAAGTACCAGCTCCAAAGGGAACCATTTCTAACAATTACGATATAGCTCTAGAAATGCTGATTCTAAAGATAGTACAGGAAAAATAATGTCACAGTGCAGTGAGTTGTCTGGTTCAAGAGGTTACATGCATTTGGATTTGGGCAACAGTTATTTTACTGTCCATATATTTCTTAACGTGACTGAATCTAATATCTACTATATATTTTCAAAGGCAAGTCATTCTGATATTAAATACTAATTACTGCTTATAAAATAATTCTCTCTGTATTGATTAGTCACATTCAAAAGAAACAAATCCATTCCAGGAAACAGTACAAAAACAAGGAGAGGATCTACTCACATTCCTTTGAGCCGTTGCCACATTTTCTCAGCGTGTCCTCCTATTTGGTACTTTAAAGAGGTGCTTTCCAGTTCCTGGGTTGTTTCAGTGGCTCTAGACCCCATGGTAATTGTCCTACAGCAATACAGTTATAGTCAGGCTCAGCAGCAAGTAAAAGCATTCCTTAGTCCACTACAAACGTCAGAGGATCCACACGTTATACAGCAGCAGCTCTCATCTATCAAAACATTTCAGAATTACAAAGCTAAGGAAAGCTTCTGGCTGAATCGCTATTCACTTTGATAGGCAAATTCACTCCCTTTCTCCCCCTAAGCATACAGCAGTATAAACAGCTCTTCTGACCTCACAAGTCTACTCCATACATGTGAGCCAGCTACTATACTACTCCCTGACTGACTGCTCAAGCTCTTTACCCAGGCATTTCATTTGGTGTATAGATATGCACAGAAGCACAAAAGCTTCCTTAAAATGTATTCAAATTTATTGTCATGCAGGATAAATGTGAATGACTTTAGCAGTCCTGAAAAAAAATTTTTTTTTGTTTGTTTGCTGTGCAGGTCGGAGAAGCAGGTTGCAATAGGAAAGCAGATGGTAGAAGCCAGTATCAGCTGCACCACTGTAAAAAACGAATGCTTGTTTAAATGCCAGAGCTGTGTCTCTTTAGATGATCCTGAATTGGTCTTTAATGAATAAATATCTACCAGCCTCTTAACAACATAACTGAACAAACATTAAGCCAGGACTCTAAGACATGTATAAATCCCTTCCAAAGAGAAATGAGAGAGCTCTACAGGTTGTTATTAAGGGAATATGCTGTAATCATGACTATTCACCTTCTCCTAGCAACTCCACACAGTAGGCAACTGTCAATTTAACTGGTGGAAAATGCTGCAGCTGCAAGACAGCCTGCTCAATGAATCCTTTGGGACAATAGCTTGCGTGTGTCAAAATCTGATGTTGAACTGCTTCCGCATGACAGAAAAAAATTAAGAGCAAGAGGAATGAGAACTAAGTGGCCTGCCAGCTTTGCAGCAGATTGCCAGGTCTGTCTCTGAAGTGCAGACCTATGCGTTCAGTTAGTTGCACAGCCAAAGCTGCTGTTCAGATAAAACTGGGGTTAGTGCTGCACGGTATATTTTCAGTGCCTGCTCACCTGCGCTTAGCAGAGCTTTCCAAAAATTTGATCTTTACTTCATCAACATCTTCTTTCTTGGTTTGTGAAGCAATGAAGATCTACATCTCTGGAGGGAGATCCAAATAGTCCCAGCTACCACTACGTTGTCTGTGCATCAGTTTCAACAATAGAGCATTTGTATATTTAGAAGTAACTAAGATGTGAGATTATCCAGCTGAAGAGTCTATCAGAGATGGGTGAAAATGCCCAGGAAAAAGAAAAAGAACCATCACAATAATTCATTATCACGGAAGTTCCTCTATCCACTCCCCTTCATTTCTTCCTAAGTTCCCTAATTTTAGGATGCTTTCCTCTTCATTCAAATATGCGTATTTAAATATCTCCTTTATGTTTTATTAATCTCTATTCTATATTGGATCCTTCTCTCAATTACTTCTTTCAGACAGATCATTAGTTGATGCATGTCATCTCTGTCTAAGGTTTCACTTCTCACTTGTACTGGTTTCAAACAGGCATCATTACACTGATTTCAATACAAATATTCCTGATTCACACAGGCATAAGAAAAAATGGAATTAGGACCATAGATTTCAATAGTTTTTTAAACATCAGAGGGTAATCCACACCTCCCCTAAGTTTTGCTTACAATGAAGGGTGTTGTGTGACTAAACCAAAGAACCACAGAAGCAGTCACTGTACAGCATACTTTATTACATGAAGGCAGTATGAGCTGTAACACTGTTCTTTTGCTGCTGCACTAAGGAACTTCTGCCTAGAAACCTCCCGGTCCTGTTTTCTGCATGGTATTCTGGTAGTTTTAAAGAAATAGCACTCATACCCTCATGGGGAGTAACATATGAATCACTAGCACTAATGTGAGTTCTTCCCTGCCCCCTACCACTCACTCCCCCACACCTGAAGCGATGCAAAGAAAATAACTATGTATTCATACACCCCCTCCAAGGACAAAGGGAAATTTTAAGGCTCTATTTTTCTCATGAGGCTTTCTCTGTTCCTGTAGTGCTATTCTATGACAGAAAACTATGCCAGCTCCTAGTGGCAATAGCACCATGTTTATGATGTTCTCCTCCCCTCCCTGCCGCCCCTCCGCACCAAAGGAACAGAAAGAGTGGTGGAAAATATCACTTTTGATATTCTGAAGAGGAGGGAATTTTGCTTCTTCTGGTATTATGTTCCCTTCAGGTAGGGCTGAAGTTATGAGCTACCAAGGCACTGGGAAACTGCATTGAAGCTGGTGGACATAACAGCTACCTTTCATTCAGGATGCACATAAAAAAAGCAATTGAGCTCCTTTGTGAAATCAGATGGCTGAAGCAATCAGAGCACCCCACAGAGCATGGACACATGGCAAGGCTGGGGAAGAAGTTAAATCATGTGGCCAAAGGGGTTCTCTGAGGACTGAAGTGATACAGCAAAAACAGGGGCTAGAAGATTGATTGGTGGAGGTGCAGTGGTGAAAGAAATTTAAAAGTCTTCCCATAGGGGGCAGCTCCAGCCTCCGTCCAACACCCTTTCCTGCAACCCCCTCCCCCACCTCCAGAAGTGTTGCACGGCAGTGCCCAGTACTCCAGCAGTGATGTAAAGGGCCCAGGGCTCCAGCCACTGCCATAGGAGCAGGGACAGCATTTGGGAGCCTACCTGGCCCTTTTAAATCACCTGGCCTGGGACAGCTTGCCTCTTTTGTCCCCCACCCCATCGGGACCCAGCAACATCACCACAGCAACACTTTACCATTGCTGTGGACTGTGTTCTAGGCAAAATCTAGCCTAATGTAGTTCCAAATACTAACCAGTGGGCAATTGTTTTAGTAACAGGCATTTACATAAGAGGATGACAGCTGAACAAATGAGTGTTGTTGTCTTTTATTTAAAGTAAAAAATGTTTTTCTCTGGCCTCCCAATGTTCTTGTTCAGGATTACTTGTGTGTGTTTGTTGTTTTTTTAAAAGGAGAATGAGCTTTAAAACCTAGCAAGCTGTAAGCATGACACAAGAGAGAAAATAAAACAATCTTTTCATCCTGGCCTGCATCTTTTTAAAGTTTAGCTTTATACTCCTTGGTTAATCTGATAGCCATTCATTCAAATCAAATCTCTGGGTATTAGGAAAAGCCCTAATGATTCAGTGTGGAGATTTGAAAATTTATTTTGCACCCTGCTCTATTCCCCTACCTAAGGCCTGTGCCACTTAATCCTCAAACAAACACTTAAATCAGATGTTGAAATGTAACATGGAATGCCCTTCTTCCCCCATCCCACACTCTGATTCAAAGTACATCTTTCATTTAAAAAAAAATAGAAAGATGGCTTTAGAAGAGAGAAACACTGTGTCTTACTATACAGTTAAAATAGTACCCTTGTACTATGAACACTGAATCATCATCAAAGTTTAAAATTACACAAAAAATTACACTTTAAAAACAGGGAGCAGCCTGCAACTACATGGATTAGAGAGTTTGCCACTGGTATAGGATAAGGGCTAACACAGGTTTTGATGAGGAGGATTAGAGATTTATTTTTGCTAAATCCTTTACTCCTGAAAGGAAACAAACCATGCCACATTATTCACTATTTTGTTCCGTGCTGTAGATCAAAAGCAGTGGAGAAAGAGAAAGTAACAAGAGATCTGAAGAACTCATATTCTCATTATCACTCATCTTTTCAAATCTTACAATGCTAACTTTCCTCATCAGAACTACAGGAGAGCCAGAAACTAATTGAGGAATTTGAAGGCGCTGAAGTAAGCGAGGCTCTCACTGCAATGAGGAAACTGTGGAAGCTACCTCCCTCTACCAGAGACTTTCCCAGATACATGTAGCTATACACTGCTGTGTGAATGCAGCCTGTTTCTTTTTACAGTACGTAGTTGCACAACCAAATGCCTAAACTTAGGGCTGGTCTACACTATGAAGTTAGGTCAGCTTTATTACATCCTTCATGCCTGTGAAAAATTTCACACTCCATTCAATGCAATTAAACTGATCTAAGCCCCATTGTTGATATGTTAGGTTGATGGAAGAATTATTTCATTGACCTAGCTATGGCCTCTCAAAAAAGGTAGATTTACTACAGCAACAGAAGTACCCTTCCATTGCTGTAGTAAATGTGAACACTACAGAGGGCTGCTGCACAGCAATGTTTTTAGTGTAGACATACATAAGTAGCTCTCAGGGGAGTCCTCTTTCTTGTGCATATACCTGAGCTAGGTATTATTGAGCTAGAAAGAGTATAAGCAGTAGCATGGCCATAGCAGCATGGATCATGGCACTGCTGACATGGTTTAGTTGAGACAGGTAAGCCATGACCTGCTGTCACTACCTATGCTATCTATACTCGTGCTTGCTGTAACTAAGCTAATGAAAATACATGTGCACGAGCAGGGGACTCACAGCTCAGATAGTGGAAATATATCCTAAATGTGTATGTGAAGTCTACTGCCATGTTTTAGATGTCCTGCAGTATGCCGTAATCTACTCTCCTTTCAAAGCATGGAAAGACCCCATCAGCCCAATCCTGTCTTTGGCTGTGTACGTGGCTTCCAGTGAACTTTTTGTCAGGCAGTCTTCTCTCCTTCTGCCTGCATCCGGTTTTTTGTAATTACAGATTTGCCTTTCATCAAACAAGATCCATGGCTTGTCCACATGTGTTTCCTCTGAAGTGATGTAAGGAATGGTTGAGATGAGAGAAAGAGCTTCTAGTCTTATTGAAGTTCCTAGACCTAATTTAAACTGTAAAACTGGTGCTGGCAAACCAACCACGTTATAATAATCTGGGATTTGTGCTAACTGTCCACAGAATAGATTTTTGCCACTGGCAACATCACTAAGGTAGAGCCACATGAGAGATTTACACAGATGGCCCACTCAGTAAACTGGCACTGTTTAAATTAAGTAGCTAAAGAGTCGGGACTCATATAGACTGTCAAGAAGACTGGTAGACCAGATGACCTAGAAAAAGGGAATCAAAAGGAAATATATTTTTGGTCTTTTTAAAAATAATTATTAGCCTTTGCATTTTCTTTTCTTTCACAGCAGTGGGCTGTTTGATAGATTTCCTGCTGGTACCCGTATGCACTATTAATATAATATTGAAAA